GCCCAAAGAGGACGGATCAGAAGGATAATGCACATCCCCTGTTTGAGAATGCTTCCCACAGGCAGGCATACGATTCCCACTTAGATCCTGCTGTCGAACTCATTCATGTGGCCCCACACGGCTGTCACGGAGGCTGGGAAATTTAGCCTCTATTCAAAGATGACCAAAATCCAGCTAAAACTTGGGAGAAGGGAAAACAAATGCAGTAGGAGAAGGGGAATCAGATGTTGGGGGACACCCAATAGCCTCTGCCATAATTGCCATCTAACTGTTTTTTTATTTACTGATAGAAAATATACAGGAAAAGTGCTTGCCATCTTCCTACAGAAAGTGAAATATGGCAAAAGGTTATTGGACTAGAAATCAAAAGAATAGAGTGTTAGTCTTGGTTATATCACTATAACCAAGTTGTGCAACCCTGGAGAATTACAGAAGAGTTGTGTAAAACAAGGCAAAGAATTTTAATATTTTTCTGGAGACAGAAAAGTTGAATTGAATTTTGACTCCATGACTTGCAGATGTGTGAATTAGGTTTCCTCATTTGTAAAGTAAGGACAATACACTACTTGTGTAACTCTAGGAGGATTAGATGATTGGTGTACAGCAGGCTCATATTAACAATTATAATTTAATCAATAGTTTCTTTGCTTCTCTGACCTACTTTATCATTAATGAAATTATAATACACCAAAATTATAAAACATTTATATAGGAAACTTGAAAACACTTGTAAATAAGAACTGCAAGGTCACAGATCTTCAATAAAATCAAACTCTAATGAAAGACACAAAATAAACTTAGACCTCAACAAACATCTGTTTTCCTTTTTGTTTTTGATATGAGATCTCACTATCTCACCCCTACTATCTCAAACTCTTAGACTCAAGCGATCCTCCTGCCTCGGCCTCCCAAGTAGCTGGGAGCACCGGCATGAGCCACTTCATCGAACTGTTTTCCTTCTTAAGAAGAATTCTCATCCCATTGCTATCGACACACTGGGCAGAATTCTCAGCTTTTGCTTTTAGTTCTTAGTTTAGTTTATAAGTTTTGTTTTTAGTTCTCTCTGGTCATTTTCTTGGGGTTAGTAAAAGTCATTCTCAGCTTAATGCAATTTAAGGAAGTTAATAAATAAATAAATAATGACTAGCCCCAGTCATGTTTATGGGTGGAAAACTTATCAGATTAGGAGAAAATCTCAGATCATTTCATATTTCTTGGCCCTAGGTTCTTCATTTGTTACATAAACAAAAATAAAAATCATGGCACCCCATACTTATGAAGCATTTTATTTGAAACTTCTATTTAATAATACTTATCCTTGTAATCTCAGATACATGTTTAAAAGAGGCATTTGATAAAACTACCCTGAAAGATATGTATCATTTTCACAATAATTGAGGATTAGAGACTTTAAAAAATTATTTTGATGCAAAACACAATTTAGAGGAAAATTACAGTGTCCTTAGATATCAGACTTATCAGAATAGAATATGAGATAAATATATTTAACAGTTTTAAACAAAAAAGAGAGTACTAAAAATAGAAAAAAATAAAGGAAATAATTCTACAGAGAAAACTCTAGGCCTAGCTACTTTTATTTGCAACCAACCTCTACTGAATATTAAATGACTTGTTATTTTCAAACTTACATAAACTATTTCAGAAGATAAAAAAGAAGGAACATACTTCAACTATTTTTTGAGATTAGCATAACCAAACCTAAGAAGGAGAAAATAAAAAGGGAAAATTACAGGCCTGCTTCACTTATAAACATAGATACAAAAATTCTAAACAAACTATTGGCAAATTAGATCTACCTGATGTATTAAAAATAAATAGAGCATTGCCGTATTGGGTTTTTTCCAGGAATGCAAAGTCGGATTAACATAAAAATATCTATCTTAAGAAAGCAATGTAATTTACTACCTTGGGAAATATAATTTACTCCATAGAGGAAAGGAAAAAAATCCATATGATCATTTCAGATGACGCAGAGAAATAAAGCATTCAATAACAGTAAACATCAAGTCCTGGTTTAAATAGAAAAACAAAAACAACAAAAAGCACTCTTATCAATTTAGGACTAACAGAAAACTTTTCTTACCCTGATAAAGAACATGAACAACCACAGCAACAAAACTGAAAGTTAACATCACTGTTAATGAGAAAACTTAAAAACATTTTCTTTAAAATCAGAGGAAAGCAAAACACCCACCCCCGTTTCTACTCAAAACTGCACTGGCCACAGTAGGAGAAGGAAGAGAAATAGAGAGTTCAGGAATTAGAGAGTATGAAAATAAATCATCACTTGTTAATACAGGTCATGATTACTTCACAAAAGCCCTTGGGAATCTCTAGACTACTTCCCATTAGTAAGATTTAAAAATTCAACTATGCTAGAATTAGAACTTGTATTGATCAAAGACTTCATAAGATAAATTTTTAAAAATTCCAGACAGGGAGAATATGTTCACAAAACATACGACAAAGAAATGATTAAAGTTCAGAATGAAATAATAGATCAATAAGAAAAAGAATCTAAATAGAGCTGAGTGAGTTACATAGATATTTCATAAAAGAGGAAAAGGAATGGCTGGTAAACATACTATAAGATGTTCACCTTATTAGTGTTAGGTAGATAGTTAGGATCTCCGCCCTTTCTCAGCATAAGGGTGCCATGCTTTGGTGCTGTCTTAGCAATTACTCCACCTGGGAAGAAAGGTAAGGGCGGGTACTCGATTTTGGTGTTGACCCCCACACACACCGGCTTAATCCTGTTACACCTGGGGATGGAGGGCATGCTTTATCAACCATTACACCTGGGGATGGAGGGCATGCTTTATCAATCTGGGAATGCCCCAGCCCAGGCACAGCAGGATTTAGAAAGTGACCTAGAGTAACCTTACGGGTAATTATTATGCCATTAGCTTGAATCTGCATTGTGGTTCACCCGCCCATCTCCACATGGGCTTTCAGAGAAGGAGTTCCTATATGCAGGTGGAATTTTCAGGACACTTGTGGATCATTTGATAACATCCCACACCTCCCAAGAGCCCGCCCCCAGAATGAGCCAATAAAAGGAGACGATTTGAGAATTCAGTGAGAGAGTGGGTCTGTCAGTGAGTCGGAGGGCGAGTCGGTCCGTCCCTTGCCATTCCCAGAGACAGACCCGCTTTGTTCTGCAGTGAAGAGCTGCTCTGTGAAGCTGCCTCCTGCCTGGGGTCACTCCACTATATTGGCCCTGCTGGTGATGTTTCCAAGATAATAGTCTGGACTTGACACGTTAGCATGCCGGGTCATTCTTTGGCCAGGAGCACACCAAGAAACGAGGGCAGACTGCCACCCTGACATTAGTAGTCAAGGGAACGCAAATTTACATCACAACAAGACACCACTTTACACTGAACAAATTGTCCAAAATCTTAAGGTTGGACATACCACAAGAGCCGCCAGGCTCAGACAATGGAAGTGCTGTGAGTTTGAGCAAATTCGGTGTGGTCTAGTGAAGGCGATGGTGGAGCACACTGCGGTCTCGCAATTTCTCTCTCAGAGTTAAGTGTCCTTGATAAAATCTTCCACATACAAAAGAGACATGTTTAAGAAAGCCATCTTCCTGTTTTTATTGTAGCAAAAATAATTAGACACACTCTTAATGTTTGGCAGGAAAATAGATAAATTTTGGTATATTCATAAAATGGGACATTAATATAGCAGTGAAAAATAGAGGTGTTTTCAGCTGCGTGGATCAAAATGGATTACATTCACAAAGCATTAAAAGGAAGTCACAGAAGAATATATTCTCTATGTACCATATGTAGATGTATGAAGATATCTATATAGAGTTCAAAATTATACAGAACTGAAGTATACTGTTTATCAATGCAAACCTATGTGTTAAATTTAAAGAAAGACAAAATAAAAGAATTATAAACACAAGATCTGAGATGGGGTTAAGTCTGAGTGGGCTGTGGTATCAAGGATACATAGGAGAGCTCAAAGGTACCCATGATGTCCTAGTTCTTTAGCTATGTTAGTGTTCATGTATTCTTTGTACCTTCTATACACCTGTACATATGCTTTGATATATGCAATATTTCAAAATGAAAATAATGCATAATATAGAATGAGTTGAGTGCATATTGCTACTTTGTCCGTATAATCAGTCTTTACTAAGAGTTGTTTTAGGAATTGAACTAAATCTTACTTGAGTCTCATCTGTTGAGTTTGGTGCTATATCCCCTGCATTGAAAAGCATCTCCCAAAGAGAGGTCCTTGTGTTTCTGTACAGACTGGTCTCAGAAGATAACAGGTGATTATCTTCTCCTTCTGCTTTCTCTGAAAATGCTCCAGTCTGATTTCTTCCAGAGCCAGCCCTCCCTATGCAGCCAGACAGCCAACCCCCTGTGGAGGCATCTTTCCCATCGCAGAATCACCTGTAAGACGAGTTGTGGGACTTGCCCTCTTCCTGTCCTCGTCACTTGCATCTTCCCTGTACTGCAGCTGCTTCCAAATCTCTCTCAAGCCTTCATGCTCAAATCTGACCCCAAAACAAAATTCTCCCAGACTACATAATCAACTTAATCCTCCCACTCTTTCTCAATTTTTCCTTTTCATGCAAGCATTCCTCACTCCCTTTTCAAATGGAAATAGAGTAAACTGGTCTTTTTCCTGCCAATGACTCAGTTCTGTCTACCTGGTTCCCAGATTGTGCCTCAACCAAAGTGCAGAAACAGAAGCAGAAGATCGAACCAGAAATCGAAAGGGCCACATCGCCAAAACCAAAATGGTCTTTAGCGAAATTGTTCGTTAACAGGATTTTCTTTTAGGAAAAGTTTGAAATACTTATATTAATAATTTAATACCTTTTCTTTTATCTCAATCATATCAATATCCTTTTGGGTGGAAGCCCCTTCACGGTATGGTGTTAAGAACATTGCCTTTAGAAACTGTCAGACTGGGATTACCAATCTACTTTTGGGTAAATTGTTGAGTGTCTTGGCATCTCATTTTCCTCTCCTGTTAAACTAAGATATAAATATCTACTTACTAGGCTGTTGTGTAATTAAATACAGTGATGCTTGCAGAGTATCTTGTGAGAAGTCCTGACCCTCAGAAGGCACTCAGTAATAGGTGGTATAACTGCATACTTAATATTCTTCTAGAAGCATGAGGGAGAAGAAGAATGGGTAAATACACGTGGTCCCTCTGTGATCTAACACTTTTATATGAGGCGCTCACACACGCATGTGTGCACACATGACATGGCAAGCTACACAGTGGTATGCAGTTACCTGTTGACTTGTAGTGAGGATGGTACAAAGAATAGCAACGGGGGAAAGGCTGGGAGAGTAAGGGAATGCTTTGGGTGTGGAGTTTTTATGGACAGAGGTAAGATAAATTGGGGCCTTACCTGTAGCCTGATTAGATCATTTCCTTCATTCATTCGTCCATTCATTCTGTATTCTTCAATTACTTCAACTAATGCAAAAGGAACCCATTTAGAATTGGAAGTAATTAGAACACTGTTTCTCCATATCGTCTTTGCTTCTTCCTCCCCACCGCTAGCTCTGAGATAGAAAGGACTGTGTACCCGCAAGGAAAGCAGGCGGCTGGTGCTCTACTCTGTGGCTACAACTGCTATCACAGCTCTAAGAAGCGTCCTGTTCTCCACAGTCACCCCATTGGTACTTCTGTATCTACTCCAAGACAGCAGCTACCAGAAACACCTGGGAGAGAAGCAGAGGAAGGACTAGCTAGAGGTCCTCGCGTTGTACGAGGAGCATTCTCCATATGCAACATGCCCAAGGTGAAGGATATAGGCACAGCTGGTGGCAATACCCCCACCCCAAGGTACCACATATGATGCGTGGTTTCAATCACTGGCTTGTCCAATGTGTCACTGTGATTCTGTATTCTGATTATCAATGGCCTGTTCATCTGCTCAGTTGATTAGGAGGAAGCTCAGTCTTTTCCAGGAGTCGTCTCCCAATTTCATCTCATTGAGAGGCAGCAGAGCATGTGGCCAAGGGCGTGGCAATGGGGCTCAGAGGCCGGGTTTAAATGCTTGTTCTGCCCCTCACTCACTCTGTAACTTTGAGCAAGATGGTTCAGTTTTCTGCCTCAGTTTCTTTGTGTGTCAGTGGGGATAATCATGGTGTGTCCGCGTCACGGGATTATTGTGAGGAGTAAATGAGTCACTATACCAAAGTGCTTAGAATAGGTGAGCATTAGGAAAAGTCCTCGTGGGTAGTATTATCAGGAGTCAGGAGGGGACAAGGCAGTTCTCACGCACAGTCAGAGCTCTGGGCTCCAGTTCTGCCGCCCTTTGTTCTGATATTATCTGGTTGCCCTTTCAATCCCGTGACCACTCTCGTTTTGCCACCCAACTGTCACTGACTTCCCTAGAACTGCCGACCTCTTCCTGTCCACACACCACGGCCTTGTCGCTGCCTATCTTGACTGTAGGGTCTTGAGAGTGTCAAGGGAATGTCATTTGGGTTAGAAGAAGAGTGTCTCAGGCCAGCAGGGTCACACAAGGGCAGGGTGTCTTGGGCCAGCAGGGTCACATGAGGGGAGAGCTAACAATTGCTGGCACTTGGACTGGGAACTGCTCCTAGCAATGTGCTTCTCAGGGGTAGGTCTGAAAGGAGAATTCGAACTGGACCCAGGTAGAAGTAGTAGGGACCTGGCACACTGTGGCCCCACACCGTGGCCTTCCACAAGGAGGAGAAATGGGGACATGGTATCAACACAGGGCCTGGCGTAGCAAAAAGCAAAACGGCTAGACTCTAAGCAGCAAGAAATAGAACATGTAAGTACAAAATTCAAGGGAACCATCCTGGTTTCACAGAATTGAAAGAACCTATTCTGGGAACAAAATCAATATAAAGAATTTCTCACAGAAACCATCCTGAAAACACGATTTTTAAAAATTTGAATAATAATGAGAAAATTTGGTGAGCTTCCTAGCAGAATATAAATTACTTAAAAGGAACAAAAATTGGGATAATATCTGCAAGACTGAATGCCAGAGAACAATAAGGCAATGTCTTCTGATCTGAGAGAAAAAATCCTGAGACCCCCGACGTTTTTACTATTCCAACTGTCCTTCCTTTGTCAAAGAAAGAGGTACTCTGGAATATACAAAAACTTAGAAAATGTATTGTCTGTGTGCCCTTCATAACAAATGTACTTGAAGACACAAGGCAGTCAAATGAGATATAAATAAAAACTAAAGAATAGGAGCATGATGGTTTAGACTGACTCGAAGGTCTTCCCTGTTAAGGAATACTAGAGTTCCTTTTTTTTAAGTAATTAGTTAATTATTATTAAAACAAGAGCAAATGTGGCAAATATTGAAATAATTATATTGTAGGAAAATTATTTTTTTTAATTTTTAGTTGACCCATAATAATTGTACATATTTATGGGAAACAGAATATTATTTCTTTATATGTATACAATGTGTAGTGACCAAATCAGTGTAATTAACATATCCATCACCTCAAACATTTATCCTTTCTTTGTGTTGGGAATATTCAAAATCTTCTCTTCTAACCTTTTGAAAATATGCAGTACATAACTGCTAATTATAGTCACCCCACAGCGCTATAGAACACTAGAATTTAGTCTTCCTATCTAGCTGTAATTTTGTACCCACTGAACAACCTCTTCTGATCCTCCCTCTCCCCTTCTCTTCCCAGCCTCTAATAACCACAATTCTACTCTCTATCTCCATGAGCTTAACTTTTTTAGCTCCTACCTATGATTGAGAACATGTGGTATTTATCCTTCCGTGCCTGGCTTATTTCACTTATCATGTCCTCCAGGCTCATCCATGTGGCAAATGACATGATTTCATTCTTGTGGAAGCTGAATAGTGTTCCATAGTGTGTACATAACACATTTTATTTATCCATTCATTTGTTAATAGACACTTAGGTTGATTCCATATCTTGGCTATTGTGAATTGTTCTGCAATAAACATGGAGTGCAGATGTCTCTTCCGTATAGTGATTTCTTTTCCTTTGGATAAATTCCTAATAGAGGGATTGCTGGGTCATATACCAGTTCTAGCTTTAGTTTTCTGAGAAACCTCCATACTGGCTGTACTAATTTACATTCCCACCAACAATGTATAAGAGTTCCCTTCTCTTCATCAGCAGCATTTGTTATTTTTTTTGATCATTGTCATTTTAACTGGAGTGAGATGATAGCTAATTGTGGTTTTGATTTGCATTCCCTAATGTTTAGTGATGTTGAGCATTTTTTCATATACTTGTTTGCCATTTGTAGGTCTTCTTTTGAGAAATGTCTATTCAGAGCCTTTGCCCATTTTTTAATTTGATTATTTATTATTTTGCTATTGAGTTGTTTGAGTTCCTTGTATATTCTGGATATTAGTCCCTTGTTGGATAGTTTGCAAATATTTTCTCCCATTCTACAGGTTGTCTCTTCATGCTGTGCATTGTTTCCTTTGAGGTACAGAAGCTTTTAAATTTGATACAATTTCTTTCATCTATTTTTGGTTTTGTTGTCTGTGCTTTTGAGGTCTTAGCCATAAAATCTTTGTCTAGACCAATGTCTGGAAGCATTTCCCCTATGTTTTCTTCTAGTAGTTTTATAGTTTTGGGTCTTACACTTAGTTTTTAATCCATTTAGAGTTGATTTTATAATAAAAATTTTGTAATTAAAGTAATTAATTATTCTTAAGACAACATCAAATAGAATGAATATTGGAATAATTCTAAGAAAATTATTTTTAACAATAAAAAGCAATGACACATAGAACAACTGGAATCCTGGTATTCTGCACATACAAAACTCATATTAAATATCCTGTGTCATTTTGAAAGAGCTAGAAACTAATGAATAATGGCAGATATTGAACCTACATCAGGCCACTTCTTTTACTTTGTACTTATTGATGTCCCTTATAACTACAGTTAAAAATCAGTGAGTGCATTTTCCTTTCAACTATATAAATTATGAAAAGTAAACAAAAGAAAACATAATAAATATTTACTGTGGGAGGTGGGAACCTGGGTGATTTGCTATTTTCCCTTTATGATTTTTATTTTCTCCCAAATTTTCTACCCTAAACTAATACATATTACAGTGAATACATTCTACATTGGTGGTAATAAAAATGATATTAAATCAATATATGCAATTAGATATATACCATATGATTAGAACCATGTAAACAGTGTACTAAAAATGATAGTGAGAGTAAATACAACAGCTTAACAACAGTTACCTCTGGTTTGTAGCACTATTGGGGATTGTTTTAATCTCCCACTACTTTTACTATATTTCCCAAATGTTCTATGATGAGCACATGATACTTTAATATTGGGAAATAAAGCAACAATAAAATAAAATAAGTCCAGGGAGCCTGGCCCCTAATGGCAGAGCAGGGTAGACAAAAGAAAACTGTTCCAGTTTTGAAGCTAACAGAAGCTCTCAAGGAATTTCTGGGAACCCTCTACCCTAATCCTCCTCTGGCTGTGACATCCCCAGGATTCTTCCTACTGCTGCTGAAATCACTTTGTGTATGTATGTGTATATATGTATGTATATACGTATATATATATATATATACATTTACATCCATAGTATATGAATATAATCCCATCACAACATTCAGGCATTACAGAGAAAACTAAAATCCATCCTCAATCCTTGTCTCTAATCCAGAGGTTTATTTGATGATCATACTTTCAGCCAAAAGTCTGGTGATTATGCAAAATGTGAATTTGCCAGAGTGTTCACCACCACCTGAGCGCACATTAAAATTCCAACTCATTCAGACCTTTTTACCTATAACATATCTGTTCATAAAACTTTATAATATTGATTAATGCTCATGTGTTTACATAAGTGATATTTTAACTTATGTATTGTCCATACAATGCTATCTCACGGAGAACTTTCTGTGGCCATCCATGTAACTCTATATTTTTACATGGTGTGAGTAGCAAGGATATGAATGATAGTTTTGTTTTGTTTTTTTAATTAAAAAATGTTTTTAACTTTAGGCATTCTATAATTGGTGCCAGTTTTTCATTGCTACGAAAAACATCTAACAATGAACATGTTTCCTGAGCACATTTAATTGAGTTCTCTATGGAAATATTGAGAACTGATTGGATATAAGGCATACGTATTTTAATTTAAAAGATATTGCCTTCTAATGTCTTCCCACAGCCCTCTCACTAGCAGTGTTGAAAAAGTACCCATATCTTTTCCCACACTTCATATTATTAAACTTATTGCTTTTTGCCAACGTCATTCTGTGGGATGAAGAACGATTTCATTGCCATTTCAATTTGCATTTCCCTGATTATCGGTGAGGCTGCATCTCTATCTTTTAGAGTTTTCATCTCTGCTATCTTACCTCTCAATCTGCGACAACCAGCTTAACCCGTTTCATGGTCGGCACCACCAGCTCCCTGGCCCAAGCACTGTGAAAAGAGAAAATGGGTAAGAACATCTGAGGTGAATATTATTCAGCTGTTCATAGCACAGCAGGGAATCACACAGGGCTATTGCATTCTAACCTGCCCTTTCTTGGCCACTTCCTCAGTAGTTACCTCTTACAGTAGGAAATTAACTGGAGTCACAGTACTCAGTAATAGTACTTGGTAATAGTGCGCAGATACTACTTCTTGCACCAATGCCTTTGGTGAGTTCCCCAAATTTTTTTGACTTCAGAGTCATCATTTATTCAGAAGAGTTGGTATTAATAATACCTGTTATTCTAGTTTACAGGTATAAACGGGTCCCCCACGTGCGTCCCTAGTAAAATTCCAACTTCTTGGTTCAGTTCCAACTTGGGTGAACTTTCTGCCTTCTCATCCCACTCCCACACACATTGTCCAAGTTCCACACCCAACATCAGGGGACCTTACAAATGTCTATGACTATTGGTTGATGAGTTATCCACAGGCAACTGGTCAGCAGGGGGTCTGCACTTGAGCCCACTCAGCACTAAGTCCCTTCTACTCCATTTCTTGGTCTTCCTGAAAGGACACCGCTCCTCACTTTCCTAGTTCAAAGACCATGTTCTTTTCACTCCTGTTTTGTCCAAGTCACCGTCTACCTCCTTCCTCTTCTTTCTTGTCTCCATTCTTATATAGTTTTTAAAGAATTGGCTTTGTGGTTTGACCTCTGTTTCTAGTTTTATGTTGGATGGTGGTGGGGGAAGAGTCAAAAAGGGAGAGAAATACACAGAAAACACACTCACACACACTTTGGGTTGTAACCACAACTCTACTGCACAGAGTTGGTGTAAAGAATCAAACAGGATACATGAGCATGTTTTACAAACTATAGAGCCCTGCACAATTAAAAATACCATCAATACTAAAATTTTACAGGTGAAAAAATATCCTTCATTATTTCCATCTTCCAAGCAAGATTAGCTATCACTTTCACCAGCCAGTATGAGCCTCACACTTCTGGTGTCCCGTGTACAGGATGGGAAGCTGGACAGAGCCATGCCCCACCTGCCCACATGTCATAGTCACCCTGAGGGTAGGACCATCTCCTTTCTCATCACTGCTTCCCTACAATGAGAAGCCCGCCCCACTACACCTTGCTGTCATCAGGGGAAAGCTGCAAGATGCATTCTGGTCTAAGCGAGCCCCTTTCCTTTTGGAAATCGAAATGGCTCTGGTCCAAGGATGAAATACGTGCAGCTGAGTAACTACAGATGATAACACACCATCCTTGTCAAATGACTCCACCCTCCCAGACGGCTCTTTGGTAACAAGAAGTGTATGGTTTCCAAATGCTCTACTGGCTTGAACATCCACATGCTTTGCCCCCAGGAGTTTGAGGGCGAAATCTCAGCCCCCGCTCAGCCTGGATCAGTGGAAGCCATAGGCCAAGCAGTTTGTTTCTCCCATCATTTCCGCTCTGGTTTCTCATCACAGTTGCATGTTCGTGGATGAATCTCTGTCCTCCCCTCAAATCAGTCCACTGTCTCTGAAGGGGGCCAAAGAGCCCTGGGCTGGGCAGTAGGGGACCAAGTTCAGGTCTTGACTCCACCACCAGCAAGAAGCCGCCCACGAGGTCAAGGATGGACAGAACAGGGGATTAGAGCACAGATTGCTCTGTGGGCCTCGGTTTCTTCATAAGATAAGGACAAAGGAGCACCTATGTTGAAATTTTGCAGACGTTAAGTAGCATAAGGGGTGCAAAACATTTAAAATAGTATCTGATGTGTGTTTAGTCTTTATGAACTTCAGTTTCTGCATCTGTGAAAAATGGGAAAACAGGGCTGGATAATTCTGTGAGGTCTTATTCTGGCTGATAGTCAGGACTGAGTTTTGCAAAGTAAAGATATTAATATTAGTGCTGTTACACGAAGCCAGGCTTCCTTCCTCCCTGTCACATACACTTGACCACGCCCTGGACATACGCATTTTGTCCGTGTAACAGAGTGAGCCGGCAAGCTCAGAGGTGGTAAAAACTGGCTCAGTGAATAGCAAATAACTCTGTCTGAGATAATCAGGAAAAGCAACACATATTTTGATCTGAGTTGGGAAGAAGTAAGGGTAATTTGGGAGGAAAACAACGCCAAAGATAAGGAGGCAGTGAGAGGATGCTCTAGGGTTGGGGGAAGCATGGAATTTGTGAGGCTAATGTGACGGTGGGAGGGGCTTCAGGGGTCCCAGGGGTGGGGCTGGAGAGAGGAGCAGAGTCCAAGTTCTGAATGGTCTTAAATCCATGTGAAGAATTTGAACTTCATACTGTCAGGAACAAAGCCAAAAGAACCCTTTAAGCAGAGGACAGAACTTGCCAAGTTTATTTGCAGGGTTATAACTCTAGAATCCCGGTGTTAGAACAACTGGAGTGGGAAGACTGGAGGTGCTGAAACTGGTTGGGAGGTTGGTGAGAGAGATGAGAACCAAGACTCGAGCAGGAGCAGAGCAAGGTCATGGTTGGGATTAGATTAAGGAACCAGTTTTCAGGTGCACCTGATGGTATTTGGAAACTGCATGTGGGAGAAGGGGAGTGAGGGGTCATTTTCTAACTTAGAATAATCAAGAGTAGGAGCAAGTCTGAAAGGAGCTTCATTTGTGATGCAGCAGCCCTCAGGTGCCTGTGGGACACTCTACGTAAGTACTTTTGTCACCTACACATGCTAGGCACTGTGCTGTGTTCTAAAGATAAACTATACACAAGACAATAGGGCCCCTGCCTTTGTGCAGAATATGTTCTAATGAGGGAGGCAGACCATAAACGGAGAAAGTAGATAAACAAAATAATAATAGTTTGTGATGACTACATTGGGTGAAACAAAGAGAATAATAAGAAAAAAGTAAATGATACAAAATTAAAAATTCAGGTTTGGTGTTCACAAGACATACCAAAGCTAGTTTGTCTGAACAACAAAATAAACAATGTGGTATTATGACATGAACCAAAGTACAAAATAAACATTCATCAGTTCACAGAAACATAAATAAATGATTGAATAAATAAATAAATTGTAGAATAGACAAATCTCCCATGCAGAAGATTCCAAATAATTTAGGTAAATACTCCATCCTCAAGACATGAAGCACACTCCCCCCTCCTTCATATGGGAAGATCTCATGTGAGGCCAAAGCTCTCACCAAGAACAAACGTAAACGTCAGCGTGGACTGCACAAGGAGACTTCCTTCTGAAGGAAACGCGATGAGCAGAGTGAAGAAAGGGTGACCTTACAGTGGAGAACCTGACAAACACGAGCTCCACCCTGTGATCAAGCTTAACATCATCAATGATAGATGATGTTCACAGTATGTTTTCTTGATACATGATGATAATGCACGTTACCTCTGCAGTCTTTCTCCAGATACTCACAGCACCCGTCTAATCAGCAGGAAAACATCACAGAAAGCCCAAGTGAGAGACATTCTACAAAATACCTGATCGGTATTCTTTAAGACTATGAAGGTCACCGAAAACAAGGAAAATCTGAGAAAATATCACCAGCAAGAGAAGCCAAAGGCGACAAGAAGACTGAATGTAGTGGGGTGCCCTGGATAGGATTGAGGAACAGAAAGAGAATATTGGGTAAAAATGAAGGGAGTCCAAAGGATGAAGTTTGGTTAAAAATAATGTGTCAATAATAATTATTAAAAATAATTCAACTAATGAATACTGGTTCATTAATGGTGTCAAATGTACCACACCAGTGTAAGATATTAACAGTAGGGGAAACTGAGTAACTGGGATCATTCTTAGAGAAGGACTTTTCTCCTCTATATTATCATGCCTTTCAGTGTAGCCCTGTGATAGAATCTGTATTTCCTTCGAAAGCAGGGAATTTTGCCTGTGTCACTTTGGGAAGCTGTGTTTGGTACAGGGACCTAAATCTAAAAGTTTGCTACCAACTCATGGCAAGGTAGTGGAACTGTCTCAAATAAACCAGAGTTAAGATGGAAAACTTCTTGGTATAGAAGCATCCTGACTTCTTGTTCAACTTGAGCATTTTTTAAGCAATAGAGAAGTGTCTGGCAGTTATATTTAAGGTTAATTTCACTAAACCGAATCAAATTTTAGAACAAAAATGACATAATACACTCAACACTCCATTATCTATTCTCAGATAACCCCAAAATCTTCTATATGGAATGCATTTTTCATCTTTGGCAGCAGATTTTTCTTCATAATTATGTTTGGCTTTGAATAAGGTTTCAATTAATTTACAGCAGAAGATAGTGGCAGTGCCAAAATGCTCCTTCCTGCAAACCTCTTTAGAATACTACAAGGTCATTGAAAAACAAAACATTTTTCAACAGCAGCAGTGAAAGAAATGATCTTACCTTCTGAAAATCCTGGCATAGCTCTCTGTTGTAATTCATACAGCAGAGAGAACATCTGTAAACGGACTGTCCAGCCAGCAGCCTCCACATCTTCCCACGTTCATCCATCACGACCCACCCTCTCCATGAACACTCTCTCCAGGGTCATTAAAAGTGTGGACTTTGGAAAAAGACTAGCTGAGTTCTGATCTTAATTCTCAACTGAGAAGCTGTGTGACCTTGGGATAAGTTATCTTGTCTTTACCTCATTCTTCAAATATGGAAAGTGTAATTTTTCTAGGAATTTTAAAACATAGCAGCAAGAATTCTGCTTCCAGCTATAATGGAAGATCTCATATGAGGCCAAACCTCTCACCAAGAACAAATATAAATTTCAGGTACTGTGTAATACAAAAACTAATAAACAACAAAATAGCTACTTGGAGGCATTGGAAACAGCTAAAACCTGTACAATTTGAGGGGACAAGATAACAAAAAGAAGGGAATACACTGAGGTGAGCAGGTCTTTATTTTCTACTTTATTTTCCTAAAAATTAATACTATTGAGGCATAAATTACATACAATAAAATGCATAGATATTAGTGTGTGTTTGAGGAGTTTTGACAAATGTATACACTGAAGCAACTTCCATTACACTGGAGA